GTGGGATGAAGAAAGTACTTGGTGACTCTAAGCTAACAGAGACAGTTTTGTCTTCTTCTTCTGCAGTGTTGCCTCTCCTTTTTTTATCTTCTTCTTCTCCTACTCCTTTTTTGTCTTTAACTTGATTTAACTTGATCCCATTTCTTCCTAACTCCCTTTTATCTTCTTCTTTTTTTTCCGTTTTCTTTTTGATTTTTAAAATAACGCTTTAGTAACAGGAGGTGTAAAAACTGTGAAGCACGAAACAATCAACAAATTAATTTAATGACTGTGTAAATATCATCACCTTTATCTTCTTCTCCTTCTTCACGTTTTTCATTTCTTCTTTTTGTCCCTGTCTTAATTATTTTCCTTCTAGTCCTCCTTTCCTCTCCTCATCCCATCCTTTTTTGTCCCCCTTCTTTTTTCATCTTCACTTGTTCTGATTCCTCATTTTCTTCTCCTCTATCATTCTTCTTTTCCTCTGACTTTCTTTTCCTGTTCTAAAAACCTTTTTTTAACTTCGATGGAGTCTTCAAAATCGATCACCACAGATTTGAGGCAGGGACCGTTTCTGTGCTGCCTGTTTTGACTAAAAAATGTTAATTGTGAAATTCACGTCACCATTTTTGACGCAAACCTATAAAGAGCCGTGTGTATTGGCACGCTGACTCACGCTTGCCAAAATGATTTACTCCTGATACTCAGGCCTCGCCGCTGTAAGCTGATAAGGTCACTTCCTGTTTTACTTTCCGTCAGCTCCCGTGTTATCTCTCCTCTTAACTCTATCACTCTTTGTCAGGCCTGCTAAGACAAAGGATGTGCTCAGTCTGCGTTCAGATTGTCATCAGAGTTGAAACCAACTTTGAAGAGAACAAAACATGGGGGCAACTTAATACAACCTGTCCATTGTTAAAGGGAAACTTTGTAGAAAGAGTGGGAAAGAGAGTGGTTTGCCACTGAGTCACACTGCTTTATGGCTTTTCCTTGAACAGGGCTGAATAGCAGCTAATAATTTATTAAAAACTATACGAAAACTTTATGGCAACACAAACAGAGATGGCGGGGGGGCTGTTATAAAAATTACTGTGCTTTTATGTTCTGTGGGAAATTCATGGGGCTCAAGAACACACACACACACACCGATGCCTTGTGATTAAATCATCATCATCGTCTTCATCATCTTTCTCAACTCCCCATCAAATATTAGACTAAGGTTTTTAGAAATATAGTCTGAAGATGTAAGATTCTCAGTAAATTACTGGAAAAGTCAGGTTGAAAAAAATGAAGACTGAATGTGAACATGTTTGTGTCTCTGTGTCAGGCACTTACGTCCACTTCACCCTGGTCAATGACATAAAAGTTGTCTCCTTCATCACCTGGATGGGAAAGATAGAAGATAAACAGAGAATTCAGAGTCTGAAGAAAAACACTCGGCATTAAACCAACAGGAAATCTCATTCTTCAGATTACGCTCAGTGGTGAATAAAACATTAAACCAAAAAGGGAGGAACTCTGGATTCAAAATTATCTGTCAAATATTTGGACAACAGTTTTGTGTGAGCTGGCCAAAAATCCCTCACCAGTCTTAGGTTCAGTCCAATCGTACTGAAATCAGAGTCAGACCTGCACTAACTTAGTGATCTTTATAAATACATTTCACACAGTAATTCATTGTACCTGGATCACCGACCAAAACCACCTTTCATTACTTTTGGATAACAATTTGGATGAAAACATGTTTGTTTTTTTCCAAAGTAGTGGTTTTAGCAGAGCATATGTTACAGCATACCAATGTCCGCATACTTGAACGATGAATAAAAATATTCCCAGTGTTTCTTCTCCGAGACCTTTGATGACAAATATATTAGTTCAGGTCTGACGGCATCCCATTGCATCCTTGATGTTGCTGTGCTTTCATAGTGAACCTTAAACCCTTGAAAGCATTGACAGGATGTAGGTGGCTGACGTCCACTAAAAGCATCTAGTCTGGAGATAAGGCTGAAAAATGGCAAAGTGTTCCTTTAATTATGCTATCCATTACATAGGGCTGAGGGGGGGAATTATTAAAAAGGACTGACAGCCAGAATCACGGGCAGTGTGCAGCTCTCCCTGCAGCTACCTTTCTCTCACAATGAGATATAAGTACAACCTCATTCACAGGTACAACCGGCTAATGGTGCATGAACATACATGACACAAGCATGTTCATGTGTGCACATCCCAGGTACTGAGGGTGTGTGTGTGTGTGTGTACTAGTGTTCTTCTGTGAGTGTTGGCTTGAAGGGCTGGGAGTGTCTCTGTGTGCAAAGTTCACAGGAGTTCACACGGCTAATTAATATTGAGTGGAGGGAGCTCGTTAATCATACAGCTCTATTTGTCTGAAAAATACTTCATGTTGGTGTGGTGGTCTGTCCGAGGAGACACACAAACCTGCTGCAACCTAGCCCTCTTTGCCCTCTCCCTCTCACTGCCTGTGACTCTCTCTCTCTCTCTCTTTCATCTAATCTATCTTTCTTTCAGTTCCCTCTCTCTCTCTTTCTCTCGAGCGCTCTTTCTTCTCTTCTACTCTTCCTGTCTATTATCACCTTGGTTCTCAGGCCTTTGTTTTCCACCTTTCCAATTCCTCTGTGCCTGAGAGCTCAGGCAAATATTTGACTAAAGCGTGCGCAAACGTATAGACATAGACTCACACACACACACACACACTCCCTCTCTCTCTCTCTCTATGTCTCTCTCTCTCCCCCTCTCTCTCACAGGCTGGTGTACATGGTGTGGTCTTGTTTCAACGTAAAATAATTGTCGTCTACACTGTTATGGTTCTTTTGTGGTCCCAGGAAAAGCAGAAATAAATAGTTACATCCTTGGGTGTAACATTTTGTTCTGTCCAAGACGCTGATGGACTTTGAACATTTTCTGATCTCAAATATTTACCTTGAAAAAGTGTGATTACAGGGAGGACATCACTCATGAGCCCTTCATTTACCTCATTATAATAGAGTAAATTCCGTCTTTGTTTAAATACCAGTACAGCCCCTGAGTCAATAACTCCCGGCGGTGTCTAAACACTCTGTGATGGGCCAGTAGCACAGGTCGTTTCTTGAAGCTGTACAGTAGTCCAGACATTAGCAATGACATCAGCCCTGTGTATATACTATGTACCACACACTATAGTGTGTATAACAATGGGCTGTCCAGGGCTGGGGCCCACTGCAAAGATAGCTAGACTTATTATCACCAAATTAGGCCTTGACAAGCTGCCTGGTGCTGAGGGTAGGACCATCTGAGTAAATATGCAGAGTTTTATTTTTTTACTTCACACTGTATGAGTTTGCAGGCCAGGCCTGTGGAGGTGAAAGTATTGTGTTATAGGACGGTGGCAAACTGTCAGTGACAAAAGTGTGTTTTCAGGATTAAACATGTGCTTAAACATGTCTGGGTCTGTGCCTGATAGGAGTTTGAGTGGGGGGCACTGGAAAAATACAGTCTGTCTGCTGTGAGTTCTGTGTTCCTTCAACGTCCAGAGATGCCAAGTGGAGGCTTGACAGCTAGGGTTATGCAGAGGAAAGAGTTCTGACATCTGGTGCAGAGTGGGAGAATGTGAGGGTACTGTAATAAGAGCAAGTAAGAATTGGATACATATATATTTCTCCTTACTTTAAAAGTTTTATTTGGCTGTTTGCTTTTCTGGAGCTGAATTTCCAGTGTAGTAGTTACAAAATATAGCAATATTTTAAACTGACAAACCTTGTTGGATCACTGTTTCTCCTGCGATGTGAGTGACTGGAAACATGGCATCAAATATGTCACTGGTGAGAAAAAGAGAGAGAGAGAGAGAAAAAAAGAGAGTGAATGAACATGGCTGTCATCATCACAACATGCAAGCAGTCAGCATCTCTGAGTCTACTCTGTCAATCACAGAGCATCTGTGTCAGAATTTAGATTTTTCATCACTAGATTCATTGAACAAAAAATCATTTTCAGAAAAATCAGTAAATACTAACATAATAGCTGAATGCTAATGCTACGTGACTATGTGACCCAGGGCTACAACAAAGTTTTCTCAACTTGGTATCTGAAAATTTTTCAATACCTGCGCAGCCTGACTAACTTTATTGTGCCATAAGTTATCTACCGCATTTGAAATTCAATCAAACACTGCTGATGCGAAGCTCTGCCATGTTTCTCTGCATTATCACAGGCAAAAACTACAGAGTCAAGTTCTGTAGAAACATGACTGTGTTGTAAAGGTGTTTTTAATTGAGTCAATGTATCTAATATCGTCTTAATCTTTTTTTAAATAAACATAACTGCACCTGTGGCTAAGCATTTAATTTCTGTTTAAGCCCTGCAGAGATGGTGTCTCTTCCTATTCAGGTCTTTAAAAAACATGAAGCCTCTGCAGATTAAAGTTCTACTGCTGGGATGTGTTAGAACAAGAGAAATCTTAGAATTCTTCCTTTTCTTCTTCTTACCCTTCAAACACCTCCAGGGTGTATTTATCTATCTAATCAGTTGCATACCACCTGTCTTATAGAGAAATATAGAAAAAAAAAAACAATAAAAAGAGGGTCAGGAATATCAAAGCCATACAGGACCTGCTGAGTGAATGAATGTGGGCAGGTTTGAGCCCGTTCTACTGTAGATTGTCTGCAAGTGTGTGTGTGTTTAAATCAGGCTGTCGCCAATGTCAAAGTATGTGTTGCCTAAGAAAACGTACAGTTTGCACTAGACTGTAGCGCTGTTTTTGCAGTACACTTAGATACTAAAGTGTTTTTATTGCAAAAACTTCCTGGTTAAAAAAAAGCATGTTAACAGATGTTGAGGAGAGATCTGAGGCTGTTACTGAGTGGTTTGGAGGTGAATGGATTCTTCTGGTATTTGTTAATGTGACACTGAATAAAAAACAGACCAAAGGGATGTGGATTTAGGCCAGATTCACTCCTAGGTATGTCTTGCACACTGCAGCTGCCCACTGAGTCATGTCCTGGAGAAAATGCACCGTAAAACAAAACTTCATCTCTCTCTTTGATGTGTACCACCACCAACCAAATGATGCACTGACACATGTTGATGCTCACATCTACAACACATGCTTCACTACGTACACGTGGTGCAATGCATGCCGCTGATACAGTCAACGGTGCATGTCAACACACACTCACACACCTGTGAGAACAACATTGACACCGGCGCTCGCTTATGACACGCTAAACTCTTTGATGTCGTTTAGTCAGCGCAACATCTGCACGGGTGCCCTCACCCCACCACAGCACATGGTAGATACTATTTGTTTGCAAATTTTTATAAATGAAAACATTTACTCACTGTTTCAAACATGCTGTTTGATCAAATATGGTTCATTAAAATTAATTAAATGTAAAACCTAATTAGAAATATTTTAATCTGTCCAACTAATTTGGGGTCATGACCCAGTGTAATAAAAAAGGATTCTGTCCCAATTTCCAAACTTGTCAACATTTATTAAATAAAAATAGGTCGGCCTGGAAAAAATGCAAGTGTTTTCTTGTTGGAACTCAGACTAATTGCATTTGCATCGAGTGTTAAGATCAAAGGTGAGTGGAGCAGTGTTTAGGTAATTACCCTTGACCATCTCCCTCTCTTTTCTCTGCTCTGCCTCTCACTGAATGCATAGGTGAACACAACAAAGACTTTGCAGGTAATTGCTTCCCCTCGTTTTTACCTGGATCTCTTTTTTCTTCATCCTCAGCTTCCGCCCTGTCTACTCTCAATCACTTTTCTCTTCCTCCCCCTCTCAATTACCCCTTTCTTCCTTCTAATTCACTCCTGGCCCTACCTCTTTTTGGTCCACCACCCCCTCCCTGCCTTCTAGATGAAGTGATTAATCTTGTCTTTTCTTATACCTGAAGACCCTCTGACCTTAGGTGAAGGGGCAGCAACCTTTTTCCCAACAATGCCTGAGCTGTTCTGACAGAGATAGTGAGAAAGAACATGGTGTAATGGAGAGTTCACCTGTATGCTAGCAGAGAGAGAACGTTTCTGTCATCCTAGTGATATGCTCTCCATGAAGACATTCTCTGAATTTGGCTGTCACTTTTATCTCTAACTACATTTTTTAGAATGGAGAAATTCATGAAGAAATTCAGAGAATTTGGCTGTTACTTTTATCTCTAACTACATTTTTTAGATTACTTTTAAAAACAAACCTGTTAGACCAGGAGTGCCCATCATTTTGTTTTGTTTTTTTGGCTTGGTAACGACTAAGAAAATGACCAGGCTAGAGTGATGAAAATGTATAATATATATTTACTAATTTAGGTGATAACATGAAAATGTATAATATATATTTACTAATTTAAATCAAATATATGTTGTATATATTATATGTTGGGATACTGATTAAATGCATGTAGCTGTATGTCACTCCTATAGTACTGTACACGGTGAGCACTATGATCAATACAATTTATTAATATTTATATAATAATATAATAATATATATATATATATATATATTCCATTAGGGGTCTACTGGTAGAGTCCAACCCCTGTGTTACTTCGATGAAACCATACAGGCTATGTTGTGGGTGGATTTCATCAGCAACCATCTTGCTAAGTCTAGCTGGCTGTTTTAAGTGGCTGGCACTAATGTTTTTATATATGCCACCTTATCTCTTACATCAACACTAGACAAGAGGACTGCCATATCATTCTGCTTCCTAATGAGCCGGAGCAGGCCGGCTTGCACAAGACCTTCACGTAGACCCCATACACAATGCTCACAATGGCTAATTGGAAGATATTTTGCCAAAGCCAAAAATAATCAACAACACTGCACATTTGGGAAACTCTCTGAGCTCCGTCTTAGCTTGGCAGCAGGGTTCCACTAGTTTGGCTGCCACAGCTTTTGTGCCGTAGGTGCTTAAAGAACTAATTTTTCACTACCTCATTATCAGCAAAGTCAGATTTCAGCTGAACAATAGTCTCTGTTATTTAATTCAAGAGAAAACCATAACCTGTGTGATGGTGTGAGGAAAGTTGAACAGAGCAGCGGGGTGGCAAAAGAATTTAAGCTAGTACATGTTAAGTTACACATGGGTTGTGTACCTTTTTTTAATGTTATATGAAGATTAAAGGCTTTGAAGATACTGTGCTTTCGTTCCCTAATCAACACCTCAGCAGCAGGGGAATGTCCTGAACACATACACGTCAGAGCAGAGAAAAGGTTACAAAACACACACCACCCTAATGTTTCTTTGTTTACCTTGGTAAACAGATGTGATTACTCAGCACAACACGTACACTCTTGAACAATCTCACAAAATGAACCAACCCGAATTAAGTCGATTTTCACTGAAGTTGAGGGAATGTTCATTTATTAGCCTGTTGTGTGACTCATTATGAGAATATCACAGTAAGATGGAAAAGTTTTATGAGGCTGACTGAACGTGCAGTGCTTTACACCAGCCACAGTGACTTACACAAAACAATCAGAACCAGCCATTGTGTTCTGTTAGTGTAAACAATGGCAATTTCATGTTTTTAGTTAACATATACAGTATCTCAAACAGTGGCATTCACACACACCAACACAGATTCAAATAGTGAGTGGGTGAGTGAGTGATTGAGTGGGGAGATTTAAGAGGTATAATTATAAAGCTCAGAGGAGTTCAGGGAGGATATTTATGATATAAAAGCTCTTGGCACGTGCCCTGTGTTTCCCTAGAGCCCTGGAAAAAGATGGCGAAACGAATCCATTCCAGCTACTGCCCATTTCTCCACATTGGTGTAGGAATAGCCACATCAGCACATACTGAAGATAGTTTCAAAAACTCACATCACTTTCTAAACAGTCACCACACCTGAAATGAAGTGAATTGGTAAGATACTAAAAAAGAAAGAAAAACAAAAAAAAACATATATACCCTGGGGAATTGGAAATCACAATCTCAGGGCACATTACCTAAGACAATCTGCTACAGATTATTTCACTGCACTGACAATTCTGGTGCAAAAGAAGAACATCCTTATGACTCATATCAAGGTCATATGGGTGGAGTTGCAAACCTACACCTGCAGCAGCTGAAACAGGGAGTTTCATCTGAAATCAAAACCAGTCAATGATCAGAGCTCCTATTTAACAGTTAGAGACCGACTCCTGTTAAAGTTACGGTAGGTGGCCATGACTACAGGTAAAGAAAATGAACCATTGCTTTTCTAAATCTTCACTGGCCTTTTCCTTAATCTGCCCTTGGGTATGGTCTTTGGGTTCCTAAATTTTGTAGTGTGATAAACATCAGAATTATCAAAGTTGACTTCCTGATCCTTTATTTTTTTTCCAATGGCAATTGCATACTAAAGACTTTTTAGATTCTTAACAGAATTACTGCACTTAGTAGGTTATATTTGTCTCAAAGACCTAAAAAGGGCTAATGTTTTGAAACGTGGAGGTCTACAGAAGTCCACTTAGAGTAAAGCTACGTGATTAAAATGTTGAAAGTTGTGTTAAAAACACCAAAGAGCAAAGAGCAGGCCATGGTAAATCCACACACCTGGCCTTCGAGGGTTTATTAGGAATGTAAACCTGGATCAACCCTGCTTCCTCAAAGACTATATGTGTGTCTAAGTATGAGTGGACTAATGGCCTGGAGTCCCTAAGGGGCCAAGGACGTTTGTGCTAGTGATAATTGTGGTACCAACCACTACAAGGACCTTGTGTCATCATTAAAACTGCAGTAAAAGAGTGTTTGCCACCAACTTTACATTTCACTTGACAGAATGACATAGAATCCTAGAGCACCTCCCTGTGCTTTCTCACCCTTATTAC